CTGCGCAAGTGCGCCCAGCTCGCGGGAGAGCGGTTCCACTGATAAGGCTAGGATCGATGTCCTGCTGCAAAAGAAAGAATTAGTTAGTTTCGGGTTTGAGTTACCTTTGCGAGAAAGAAGGTAGACTAAAAGAACATATTCAATGAAGAGATGGTTTCACACAAGCAAAAACAAGCATGTATAAGCAGCGTGGGACAGGTTTAGTGAATGCCAGATGATAAAAAGATTGAAAAAGCGTGGAGCGAAACCAAAAAAAGGACTGACTGTTGCAAACCTGGTTTTGGAAGTGGACTGGGGTGTCATTGTCCCAGTCATACCATGATGCCCAATGCTCGGAGTATAGCTTCTGCATGACGGCAAGCGCGTGTGGGATATATCTTTCCCACCCAAGGCTTTTAATCGAGTTTGCCACAAAGCGTGCAGGGCTTCAACAGGCTGATTGCCAGAACCACTGCCTGGGACACAACCGTCACGGCCACCCCACATGCTAACAATGTGGCCCGTCTTCAATCTGCAGCCTGCGAAGAAAAGCTTCCCAAACATGTGAGAAGAGGGGAAGCGTTGGCAGAAAGCGGAGCAAGCGAACAGCGGCATCGACCCAGCCCAAGTGGGCTTTGATCCACTTGCCATTTTGAGCTCCAGCTTGCGGCCATGGTGGTGTTCTGCTCTTGGGAGAAGTGGAAGAAGTCGTCGCAGCCCCGACTCTGTGGAAAGCAAGCGATCCTGGCCGACTCAATGCAAGGTTTGAAATCCTTGTGGAGTTGCATGAGGTAATTTGCCAAGGAAGGTCGCGAAGGGCTGGCGCTGGCTTGCCACAAGTCATCAACTTTCCGAAACAACCTTTCAAAATTTGCATGCGCTTCTTGGTGGAAGCTCGCCTGTGGGGAATCGTGTGGCTAGTATAAGCACGACCCTGTGTGCGTTGTGGTTGGGCCCCAGAGCCAGGAGAACGAGCCAAGGTGGTTGTTCTTAGACGATCTTTAGCCAAGATTCCAAACGTGGCCACACCATACCCTCGATCAGCAACCTTCATCTTAGCGTCGACGGTGCAGCGCAAAACCTTGGTAGTTGCAACAGAGATTGACATGAAAACATGAAGCATGGCACTGCCTATATGAAATCTTTCAAATCAGAGCAGAAGCTGGCAACCGAAGCTGTAGGGATGAATTTGTAGCACCAAGGTGTCTCATTAAGTGAAAGATGTTTGCAATTGGTACGGAGAAAAGGCAATGCATGATTAACGTCACACAGTTTTAACGTAATGTATCGACAACCAAGAAACGTAGTAAGTAGTTGCGACAATGCCAAGCTGGTGATAGGCGTAAATGAGCTGAGCGTAGAACCTGGTGAGACAGGGTATATTGAAAAATATGAACGCGTGTTAGATTTCGAGTTGCCTCTTCAAATACCTTCAAGTGGGCTGAAAGGTGGTGGCTGTAGTGTGCTGACTGTCAAGCTGCGCAGCAAACCCTTTGCTGGCACAATTCATGCTGGAGCACCTCTTCAAACACCTTTAAGTGGGATACAATGGGTGTCAGCGCTGGCGCAGTGGGTCCTTTGGACAGAACACGGTCTCTGAGAGAGGTCCAGTCGACAATGGGAATGTAAGAATCAAGTGCAAAGCGTGCGTTGCTCTTCCTCAAAGAAGAAACAATAGTATATATAAAAATTTCAGTTGGCCTTATTGCTGTTTGTAACTTTGTAGTTGGCAGTTCCTCTAGCCACGCTGCCTATATAGGCCTGAATCGTAGGTCACGTCAAACTGGAGGGGGTCGAGACTGGAAGCATTCCAACCACTAAATGAAATGCAACAAACACCCTTACTGTACTTTATATTTTTAAACATATAACGTATACATTGACTTGAAATTCTGTTGCGTTATGAAGTAGACTCGGGATAGTCTCTTTTGCGCGCTGCCCGTTTTCGTGTGCAGTATGCAAACGTACAGGAGCTTGTGATTTGCCACGCGTATGTTGCGAGTCTGCAAACCTGACGAAGCGAATTTGTTTGATTCTTAGTGTTGTTTTTTGAAGCCTGACAGCTGTTAGGTGGACTCACCTTGCTGCAATTCGCACTCAGTTAGGGGGCCCCGTGTCATGCATGTCCACTGTCCACGGTTCATACGGTACAAACAATGTTTTCACACAACTCATACCTTCCATTGTTGGTATCAAATATAGAACCTTAGAGTGATGTGATGTTTCCTGTGCACGGCGCCCATGTGGTGCCATTGCCATGTTGCTAGTGGCTGGGTATGCCAATGGACATCGGAGGAAACGCATAAATGGCAAGCGAGTGCCCTTGCGGTTGCCAGAGCCTCTTTGGTTCTTGCAAAGATTGTCCGCTCATGGCCTTCAAGATGAACTTCACAGGGTTTCTGGGACTGAGTCTTTGTCAGCAATCAGCCTCACACAGGCATCTGTTGCTGGATTTGTCATACTGGGCCCTGGCCATGTCAGAGAAGGGCATTTGACACCTTGGCCTCGTGAAGCTGATTTGCTTTGGGACTACTTGTCTCGACCTTTGGGGTGCTTCACTATGGAAGTCAAGCAGATGTATTTGCTAGATCCCCAGCCAACCGTTTCTTCTGCCCGTGGTATCGTGGGAAACATTAGCCTTGTCCACGCGATTTTCCAGACAAACACGCAGCTGGTTAGCTTGGACACTCTGTGTCACTTGAAAATCACTGGTGTGCGCGTGTCTATTGGCAGTGTCCTGGAGTTCTAGCTGAAGTTTCAGGAATGCTTTTAATGTTATTGCGTTTGCCATGTGTCATCCCTGGACCTAGGACAAAGGATTTGGTTCAAGTATTAATGGAGTGATTGATTTTTGTGCACTGTCAGGACGCCTATGGGATAGGATTGCTTGAAGAGCACATGCGTGATATCCCTGTTATGTGGCTGCCGCAGTGCATACTGGATCTGATGACTCTTCAGCGCTGGCGGACAATTTTGTTGCCGTTCGAACCGGGGCATGTGGCAGCACGGAAAGTGCATGCTGGTTGCATTGCTTGGCTTCAAAAGGTGTTGGGTTGGCCAAGAGAAGCAGATCTTCATGCGCCGCTGGGCGGGAGCGGGCCAAAGCCAGAGCGCCCGCTAGATGAGCAGTCCGTCTTGTTTTTGATCGATGTTCTTCGCCAGAGCCGGGATTCTATTTTGGCAGAGCTGAACTCTGATCCTTGCATCTCTGAGGGTGAAAACACATATCTACAAATGGAGCGTGCTCTTAAGGGCCTGCAACTTTTGGCAAGGTCCTTTGGATCAAAACCAAACGTTGGCAAAACTAGCGCCAAGTCTGGCGAGGATCTGATCAATGCCTTGAGGGCAGCGCAACATGTGAGGAATCGAAGCAAATTGCAACAGCTCCAAAAGTTGATGCTTGAGAATTTCCTTCCAGATGAACTCCAAGGTTTGGCCCGCTCTGTTATGAAAAACCTTCCTGCAGGGGCTAGCATCTCCAGACATCAGGTGGGGTGTTGAAAACGGGTCGAGGCAACAAACGTTAACATGTTTCAGCGCTCTAGGGTTGTTGTTTTTGTTTGCTCTTATTGTTGGGCTTTGCAGAGTGAGACTTGTTTCAGTTTTGGGCTTGCCCAGGTCAGAATTGATGCTGCCTTCACTCTTTTCTACCGTGATGTTCTGCAACAATCGAGGGGGCCACTATATCTGTGGTGCGACAGTTCTCCACAATTGGGAGCAGACTATTTGCTTTCGATTTTTGACCGCATCTCTGAGGAACAACTTGTGCCTTGCTGGCAGCATGCCCAAGCTTTGTTCAAGTCCGTGCTTGGGTTCTGTGATGCTTTTCATGCTGGAGACCAGGAGCAAATGGCCCAACAGGTGCATTTCCGCCATGAAGCGGCAAGGTTTCTCAAGAAGCATGTGGTCCGACATCGGCAGATGCCAATGTCACTTGGGAGCGGCGCAACAACCCTTGAAGACAAGGGGCGGGCCCTAGCGATGAAGTTTGCGCATGAATGTCACACAATACAAGACCTCCGTTCAGTCTGCGCTCAAGTTTGCTCACTCACCGTGGACATGGACGTTGAGGTTGGTTTGGCAGATGCTGCAGGGGGTGATGTCAATCAGTACCTCCCTGCATGGACGCAAGATTCAGGTCTTGTGGCTGATGAGGGGTTGGCCGCTTTAGAGGCTCTTGGGGAGCAATCGGACCGCCACCTCTTTCCCAATTCCTTTGTGAGCACAGGTTTAGACCACATCAGCAACAATTTACAGAGTGATTTGGACGAACATTTGAGTGGTTGGAAAACATGGTTGCCAAAATTCAAGGCCCTCACAAACCTTTGTTCTAAACGGCACCACCTCAACAGATTGATTGCCAGGTGTATTCGAGACACACCTTTTGCACCTTTGACTCGAATGTTTGAGACTGCTGTCCCGCCGTGTGCGAAGTGGCGCTGGGGAACAATTTGCAAAAGCTTGCCGGCAATACTTGAGCGTCATCGCCCTTTATCAATGATTTGGAACAAGGCAAAGTTTTTGGGAGGGACTGAGTTGGATGGTGATGATGATGATGACAACAGGCTGGATGTTGACCACGTCACAGAAGCACTTCAAAGTCCATCTTGGTTGGCGTATGGACAAATGATACTTCATCTGCATGAAATTGCAAACTTCATTTCTGGATGGGGTTCGGGCTGCAAGTGTCACGAGTGGTTGAGGCCACACAAAGGGTCATCAACTAGCGTTTGGGACGAGACTTTGCAAGATGTGATTCAATCGCTTCAACTTCCAACCGACTCAGATGGTATGCGTTACCAATGTCCATTGGCTGGAAAGCGTGCGCCTGAGCTTGCAAGCGGTGTATTGGTGAAAGCCCTCAACGACAAAATCCAAGAGGTCTATCCAAAGGTGCTTGTGGAATCTTCAGCTGTGGGTGGAACAGAGCAGGAACATTTTCTTAATGATTTCAACCTGGGCACGGGCTACATCAAGCTTGTTGTTGAGTTGAAGTTGGGTCACTGGCAAGATTTTCCTTGGGTGCTTTGCAAGCTGGGTTTGCCGGGAGATGATGAGCGCAAGCGCGCTGCTGCTGATCTTCTTGCGGTTTTCAACAAACTTCCGCAAACACCAGAGAGCCACCACCGAGTGACATGGGCGTTCATGCAACAGGGCAGCACTCTCAGGGTCAACTAGAAGAGGTTGCGTCCGGAACTCCTCTTCAGGATTTGCGACAGCTGGCTTCTGCAGTGGCACGCCTTTACTTTGTTCCTGTGGTTGAAAGAATCGTTGAAGGTGACCATTCAATTGCGCACAGGCATGGAGGCTACAGGAAGGTGTCAGCAGCTTATGTCAGTTGCAGCCAAAGACTACCCGAGATAGACATCATCATGAGCAGTCCTGATGACAAGGCGAAGCCCCTGGCGGCTTTTGAGCACACCAGGAAGTTGCGCAAGTGCTCAAAGTTGTTCAAGTTTACGAAGCATCCACAGTGGCATGACATCACTTGTAAACCCAAAAAGCAGCAGGCGGGTCTTGAGAAATTGGCAGCGCGTATCCTTTACTCTGCAGATGTTTCCACCCAGTACTTCAATTTGGGGCCCGTGCGAGCGCGGCATGATGCTGAAAAGCGGGCCAGGAGAAAGGTGGAGGACGCTTTGGTGAACCGGAAGGTGAAGATCTCGCGTGAAGCTGTGCTGAACTCTGCTCTTGTCACAGCCATATTTGCAATGTGTTGAGCCCCGGTGAATTCTATTCAATGCCTGTGGATGCTGCTCAGGAAGGTGCCCTGACAGCTCTGGATCTTGCAAGGTGTTTTTCCACGGCTCCGAAACCCAAAGTGAAGGCTCTTCCACGTCAAGAGGGCCAAGATGGGCAACCAAACATGTTTTTCAGAGTCTTGACCAGCACGGTTGCTTAAAAACCACCAAGGGAGGGCCTGCCGGCAAACTCCGCTTGAAGAAAGGTGATATTGCAGTTACACTACACAAGGCCGAGTTTGATGGGGTGAGTGACAGTTGTTTTGTGGAGTCCCAGCCGTTTACATGCCCAGATGCAGGCAACCCAGTTCACATTTTATCTGGTGTTGGTTTGCGTGTGGATCAAGCGCAGCAAATGTTGCAGTGGGGGCGCTGGGGGGACAGATGTCAGTTCACATTGCCCCATTTCTCAAGTGTCTCAATGGCAGCTTTGCTGAAACAATTTGTTGAGGCTGAAGCTTTTGAAGGTAAGGGGCATTTTCTGCAAGCAAATGTGTTGTCGCGCAGGGCGTTGCAAGAGCTTTCCCATGAAGGTTGGGCCCTCGAATCTGAAGAAGGTTGGCAGCTCACAAAAGCCGCTGCGAGCAAACTTTGTGTTGCCCAGCGCGTTGGTGACCCAAAGCCTCCCTTTGGACCAGATTCAGAGGGCACACCGCTGCATGATCAATCCACCTGGCAACTTTGCATGCGTCTTGCGCCAAAGTCTTTGCCAAGCCCCTTCGCCAAGGGAGCGCCTCGCATTTGGTACACCAGTGGAGTTACTGTAAAAAAGGAGTATGTGCTGTGTCTTCTTCAGACCGACAGGATTTTGGATTTGGAGAGCGATTGTTTGATTCACCACGGGAAGGCGCTTGAGTACTACAAGCATTTGTTGGCAGGGAACTACCAGCTGGCGTTGCAGTTTTTAGAACAAAGGGATCAGCGCAGGTCCCAAAGGAGCTTTGATAATGCAATTCCTGACAGTTCAGCTGCGCCTATGATTGCCGACGAGGGGATTGACTGGCAAGTGGCTTGCTCCAGCAAGAAAGAGAATGCTGCAGTTGAGGGTGCTCCACTTCCATCTGCTTCAAGAGACTGAATGACCTTCTAGGAAGCTCTGGGGACAGTGAGGATGGCAGCTTTGCTGGAAGTTGTGACAGCGCAGGCGAGTTTGTTGATGAGGAATCTGTTGACGTGGAGCCACCACCCTCTTCTCATGGTGCTGCTGGTCCCAGTCGCCCGAGCAACATGGACCTGGATGCGGTGGATGAGGTTGCTTCTCCTCCTAATGAACCTCCGGCTGGGGAAAGTGGAGTCACACGCCGGATCAGACCAGAATCAATCACAAGTTGGGGGAGCAGTGGCTTCAGGATCACATGGCGTGCTCCAGGCAAATCCCATGTACATGGTGCTTGGCAGGGTACATGCGTTTTCCATCGCCATTCATCCAGTGCACGGTGCACAAAAAGCATTAACGTGGCAAGCGACAAAGATGTTGATCGAGAGAACTGCCTGCGCATGGTGCAAAACTGGCTCATTCAAGCTTGTGCCTTCGACCGTGCTTGGAAACACCGTGACTGGAACCCTCGCCAGTATGAAACACCACCTGCCACGGCTTTAGAAGCCAAGGCCAGCAGCATGCCCAAACCGCCAGCAGAAGTTTTAGCTGACGGGGAGCTTGACTCAGTTCCGACACCGAAAGCCAAAGCCAAAGGCAAAGCTGGGCCAAAGGGAAAGCCTTCAACAAAGCCTAAGCCAAAGGCAACCAAAAAGGCTTGTGCAAAGCCTAAGCTACCAGCTGAGAGTAGTGGGAGTTCAAGTTCATCTTCATCGACATCATCGACGTCGTCCGCTTCATCTAGTGATAGCGATTAAGGCTTGCGGGGTTTTGCAATTTGGGTTTGTGAAAGAAGCACTTGCATGGGGCGTGCAACTTCTATGGCCTAGTGAACTTTTGACATTGTTGTGCAGCACGTTTATCCTGTCTTTGGTGGGCGGTCTTGCGGTATTTTCTTGTGTTCGTGTTGTGGATTCTAGAGGTCAAATGATGGGTGTAACCCCCCCCCTTTGGGGTGTTTTGGTTGGTCGTGGAGGCCTAACCCCCCCCCTTGTCTGTTGTGAACTAAACGGACAACCCGTGAGACGCAAAGAAGGCCCTTCCCCAGGCTCTGCAAAACCCGTGTTGCTTTTTCAGTCTTGATCGGCCTGATACATCTTTCCTTCATTCCTGTTAATAAGCAAGCCATCTCTTTTGAAATTTCTGTGCTCCGTTTTTGGGGGTCGGTTAGGACGATGCGCGCCAAGCCAATAAAGACACTTGGGCATCGCTCCTTTCAAGACGTTGGAGAGGGCGCGTGGGGAGCCTAGCACTTTAAACAATTCTTCAAGGCGGAAAACAAAGTGTTTTTGAGGATTCGAAACGCGCAAAAGATGATCCTCTGCTGCAGCTGATCTGGGCTCCAAGGTTTGCAAAACGAAGCGGAAGATACGCTCGACAAAACGGCCGAAAGACTTGGCCGCAAAAAGCGTTGTACGGAGGTTCGGGGGCTGGCAAAGCCCTACCAAAGGCAAACAAGCAACGTTGCACAAGACCTATAGGTTTGGTGTGGGCCGCAAGAGCCCAATACTGTTGAAAGTACAATTCCTGCTGCAACCAACAAACCTGCGTATTTGTTGAAACTGTCAGAGAAGGAGGATCATGTACAGGGTCTTGAGGATGAACTGGTTCCTTTTTCGATAGTTTCTTTCGGTCCTTATCAGTGGAACCGCTCTCCCGCGAGCTGGGCGCACTTGCGCAG